TTTCTCTCATGGCTCACACCAAGTATGTAATGTATATATATATGTTTCTGTGTGCCTCTTATCACAATTACAGTACTTGTACACATGTACTGATTCTGTTTTCTCTCCCTCCATGTGTCTGTCAGTACCACGGTGAAACCATCAAAAGCATCAGAGAGGCAGTCGAGACAATAACCTCTGACCCGTTGTATTACCGGCCGGTTGCCATCGCCTTGGATACGAAGGGTCCAGAGATCCGCACCGGATTAGTGAAAGGGGTGATGATCTTATGCTTTGTCTATGAAGCAGTCTAAATCTAATCAACCAGTCACATGTGGTCAGGTGTAAGAGGTTATTGCTGCATGCCCTTTGCTTTGCTGAACAAATAATTCTAAGCTGTTTGTAAATCTCTTCGTGCCTTGATTACAGTAGTTCACAAAGTTCTCTGAACGACATGTGAGCTGCGTATACACAGTAATATAGAGTATGTAGTGAGTGTCACATTAACATCATCATTTATACTAAACACCTCTGAAATGATTGAACACATCCATCCATCTTCTATCTATACCACTTATCCTAACGAGGGTCACGGGGGGCCTGGAGCCAATCCCAGCGGACACTGGGCGAGAGGCGGTGTCTACCCTGGACAGGTCGCCAGTCTATCGCTGACACTTAGAGACAGACAACCACACACATCCACGCTCAATCCTAGGGGTGATTTAGAGTCACCAATCTACCTAAGTTGCATGTCTTCAGACTGTGGGAGGAAGCCGGGGTACCCAGAGAGAACCCACACAAGCACAGGGAGAACATGCTGACTCCACACAGGAAGGTGCCGGGGCTCAAACCTGGAACCTTCTTGCTGTGAGGCGATAGCACTAATCATTGTGCCCCCATGCGGCCCTGAATACATCTATTTAGTCATAAACACTGCACAACACATGTGCTTATTGAACCTAAGTATTGAGCCTACTAGCAAATCACTCATTTGTAGGTCTAGACAGCCAAGTATTTGTTTTGGTTGTTGTTGTTTCTTCTGCATGAGCAACTGATCAAGAACCAGATCAGAACTTGGAGGGTTTGCACATTGATCAGCTAGCATGTACGTACTGAAACCAGAATGACTGTGTAACAAACTGCTTCTTTCTAAATTTACAAGCATCACACTCTGCTGGCTCTTATGCTCATGGTAAACAGTATATAGGGCAGTTTGTATCTCTGAGTCTGTGTGGAAGCGTGTTCCTGCAAAAACAAACATAATACTTAGAAGAAACTTTGCACCACAGATTCCACCTACAGAATCACTTGGAACAACTGGTAGTGATGCACACAGTACATGATAACACTTTCCATGGGTTTGGAAAACAAGTGTGCTGACATAAAAATACTATTTAACACATCACTTAGCTTAACAATGAATTCTTTAGTCAGTCCTTCATTGTCCCTCTAGTGAACCTTGCTTTTAAAAATGCATTGATTGTGTTTACTTAAAGGCAGTGTTACATTTTTGCCAATGTGTGTTTGTCTGTGTTGTGTGTTGCTATAGACAGTGGAGCAGGAGGTGGCGCTGGAGAAGGGCAGCCATGTCCGAGTGGTGACAGCAGAGAGTGACAAAGACAAGACAGACGGAAAGATTATCTGGGTGGACTATCCCAGCCTGCCCAAAGTCCTCAAGAAGGGCGGAAAGATCTACATTGATGACGGTCTCATTGGACTCAAAGTCACAGAAATAGGTGAAACACTACACTGTCCTTAACAATCTTGTAGGAAGCCTGCCTGTCTTGCTGCTGTTGTACATCTATATTGAAACTTTGCTACTTGCTAAAACCTTTCTAACTTCTTACATTCTTTTTGGAAAATGTATATTTTTTTTATTATTTGATGTCTTTTGCAATCAGTATAATGTAAAAATTTCCCAATAAGCAAATTATGGAGAAAAACAGCAACATATGAACAAAAGAAAAAATAATGTATGTGCATGCATATATATGTACACAGACACATGCACACAGATAGACAGTAGTATAGACAGATACATCTTCATATTTTCTTTACCTAATATCTATACATTCCATCTTTCATGGTGAATGAGAACCTTGTCAAGCTGAATAGCCTATTCATAAAAAGATTGTTCTCATGGAGTCTTCCAGGCCCCTAACGAAACCCCCTTCCCCACCATTAGGTTATTCTGGATCATATTTGGGGCTCTAAAGTTCATTATAATCAGTGTATAGTCATCATAGGTTTTAAATCACTTTATTATTTGACAAATCATAAATATGTTTATGGAATTTCCTTCAGGAGTTCTGTAACAAAGGGCGTTTCCAAGACATGCAGTTCCTGACATTTCCAGAAATTCCAATTATCTCCTGTCAGATAAAAGTTTTCCTCTGATATTTAATGAGTGCTGTCATCCTATTTTTGCAAACAAACTTTTGCTCATTCTCATCTGGGGGAGTTTTATTAAGGCATACCTTTCATTTTAAAGGCCTGGGAGACTTTTTCCAGTTTGCAGGTTTGATAAAACCAGAATGGGGTAATTTACCTGACCTCTCACCTTCCTTTACTTCTCCTCTGCAGGCCCTGACTGGGTGGACACAGTGGTTGAGGCCAGTGGGGTGCTTTGCAGTCGTAAAGGCGTGAACCTCCCTGGCTGCGACCTGATCGGCCTGCAGGCAGTCAGTGAGCGTGATAAGGCGGACCTGAGGTTCGGGGTGGCCCAAGGTGTCGACATGGTGTTTGCCAGCTTTGTTCGTTCAGCCCAGGATGTCAAGAATGTTCGGTCTGCTCTGGGGCCACTCGGACAAAATATCAAAGTGATCAGCAAGGTGGAAAGCCGGCAAGGGGTACAGAAGTGAGTCAGGCAACATATTTCCAAACCTAGACTGTTTGGGCACAGTTATTTTGAGCTGATGGCAGCAAGTCTTTTATAATGAGGTTGTGATCGGGCTTATAAATCTGCTGATGGTGGTCTGTCTGTCCTGTGCACAGCCAGCTGTCACTGATGGATGGACACATGTCAGCTCTGGATTTTACACATCTAATATAAGCAGTGTGTGTGGCTGTCTGAGTTAGCTGCCGCTGAATATATCTGAAACAAACCACGTCAGTGTGCTCTCACTTTCCCATACTGCTCACTGGCTGCATACAATCTTTTATTATGGCTTTGATTTTAATGGAATGTTTTTTGTTGGATCATAAAATTTAAATACTACATCATTATGATACTGTGCATCCACATTCATTTTGAGAAGCCTTGTTTTACATCTCTTACAGCTGTTTGTTAAATGTGTCGTCATTACAGCCTCCTGCTGTAATAGTTTCTGTTTATATTGCTCACATATGCTTTTGAATTTCATCCAGTTGATTCAGTATTTAGATCACAATGTAACACTATTCAACATATATTTGAAGCATTTTGCTAAATGTTGCTGTTGCAGATAAAGACCTACATTTTAATGTTTCATAGAGACAGCACAGAAACGAACAGTACTGTTCCTTGTTTCCTGTGCTGACTCCTCTCTTTTTTAATCCTAAACACTCAATTCTTCACCTCCTCATCCCCCTATTCTGTCTGACAGTTTTGAGGAGATCCTGGCTGAGAGCGATGGCGTGATGGTTGCCAGGGGCGACCTGGGGATCGAGATTCCTGTGGAAAAAGTCTTCATTGCCCAGAAAATGATGATTGGGCGCTGCAACTCTGCTGGAAAGCCCGTCATCTGTGCCACACAGGTCAGAGCCACACACAGACACTCACACAGAAAAGAGGCTGCAGACATGACACAATATGCAGATTTAGACTCTAACTACAGTGTAAACCAATCAAATGTCAAATGGATCCAAGTAAACAAACATTAAAATCCGACAGGCCCCTTGCAATTTTGTATGATGTACTCACACTGACACACACACACACACACACTCAGTCGTCCAATAAGTTCATCCTCAAACACATATATCTTTCCTCCCTTTCACACCCTTCTTTTGTTACACATGTACACGCACATTCCTGCAGCCATGTTGAGTCACAGTGCTGTATTTTGTTTCTGCTGCAGCTCTTGACTCAGAGTGACAGTGTTTGCAGGTTCGCTACTCGAGACCAGAGCCCACAAACACCGGCCACACACACTAATCAGCGTTACCTGCCGCTTCTTCACTGCTAAAGAAAATATAGTCACTCAGGCAATGCTGCGAGCTCTTCTTTACTTATTGACTGATAATACTGAGCATCCAATATTGGTCTCACAAAGTCGACTGCCTCAGTCCAAATGAACACGCATTTATCCTGCACTGTTGTCCATCTCTCCACAAGGCCGTTACCTTCTCTCTTCATTCTCTCCCTACTAAAGTTTGTGTGATGCATCACTTGTCTTCTTAGAGACAAAAATTAACAAGGTGACTTATTTTTGATGGATCAATTGATCAAATCCCTTTATAGCGCCTTATGGAGACATGTAGGTTGTGGTTAAAAGTGAAGCTAATGTATTATGTGTGTGTATTTGTGTGTGGCTGTAGATGCTGGAGAGCATGGTAGCCCATGCACGGCCAACTAGAGCAGAGGGCAGTGACATCGCCAATGCTGTGCTGGATGGAGCCGACTGTGTAATGTTATCTGCAGAGACCGCCAAGGGACTGTTTCCTGTGGAGGCAGTTGCAATGATGCACTCGGTGTGTGTTTCTGTGTGTGCATGATGTCCATTCTGTTACATCTGATAACTCTCTGTCTCCCCCACATCCTCACTCTTTGTCTCAGATCTGCAGGGAGGCAGAGGCGGCCATTTTCCACCAGCAGCTATTTGAGGAGTTGCGTCGCCTCACTCCTCTCTCCTCCGATCCCACAGAGGTCACAGCCATTGGAGCTGTTGAGTCCTCCTTCAAATGCTGTGCTGGGGCCATCATAGTCCTTACCACCAGTGGCAAGTGTGTATACCAACTCGGCCGACAGAGAAGAGTGTCATTACTGAACAGTGCAAAACCTCGCATTAAACTAAATTCTTTTTGTTTTTTTTACATTAACTGGCAATGATTTTAAAATTGCTTTTTTTTTACTTATTCATTTTTGGAAATATGCTCATCTGCTTTCATGCTGAGACTTAGATGAGAAGCATAATACCACTGTCATGTCTGTACATTAAATATACCTGGAGCCAGAAGATGGCTAGCGTAGCTTAGCATAAAGATTGGAAACAAGTGGAAACTGTTAGCCGGGTTCTGTCTGGAGGTAACAACATTTGTCCACCAGCACCTCTAAAGATCAATGCTAACTATTGCACTGCTTCATGCGTTGGTACTAACCGCTTGGACAGTGAACTGGTGTATGCACTCAAATGCATGCACATAATGTAGACATACTGTAGACTAATTCTTAAATGTGGATCTGAGTAAACATTGCAACTGCAATTTTTGATTTTCTTTTTTTCCCCCTCTCTGCAAACATAAAGGATACATGCTCCATACAGGTTGGAACAACAGATGTCAGTTGTTTTTTTTTATCTGAGATCAGAGCTATAGTATAGATTGAATACTGCAGTACTGTTTCCTGCTTTTACTCTCATAGTCTTTTTTTTTTAACTGCAGTGTTTTATTGTTCTCCCCTAATGTTTTTGTGTATTTTCTGAATGTTCTGACTTCTTGCTTTGGAAACCTAAGTTCCCTATCTGACACACTAAAGATTGCTTTGTGTGTGAGTATAGAAATATCTACTGTATATACGCACACGCACATGCCTAGAGTCAGGACGTTCACATGCATATTCATAGATACAGTATATAGACAGTCACCATTTACATAAGGGTGAAACATGGAGGGAGAACCTTGTGTAAATGATTGAAGACACATAATGAGTGGACATGGTTCCATACAGGGGCACTGCACTTAACATCCTACCATGTTCTGCGACATGTATTAAACCTCTGAGCAGGCACCACTGATGTTGGATCAAGATGGCAAGAGGAAAAAGTCTAAGTGAATTAATAGGGCTTGGAAAACAGGAGCTTCAGTCACAACTTCTCAGCTGGCTGGTGTTTTGAAAAGGAGCCTGACTTCATGTGACACTTAGCAGATCTATGGGAAAGCATCAGATTTATCATCACCATCACCAAAACACCAAAATAAGGAGCATGTTTTAGAAGAGTGCTGCTCAGAGACATGGAGAATATACAGTATGTGCCAAGGATCACAGGAACTGTTCTGGCATTACTAACACACTTGAGTTTGTTTTTTCTTTTATTCAGTCACCCATCTGTGGAAACATTGTTCAAGTGTGTCAGTAATAATTTGCTCTCTATCCTCATCTCTGCAGATCGGCTCATCTCCTGTCCAGGTACCGCCCTCGCTGTCCTATCATTGCTGTCACCAGGAGCCCTCAGGTACTGCCTGCACCCATATGAACTGAATAGAATCATAATCAGAATCCACTTTATTGGCCAGGTGTGTCGGACACATGAGGAATTTGACTCTGGTACATCGGCTCTTAATGTGTATGTACATATCCCCATGCAAGGGGCAAGTAAACAGTAAACCAGCATAAGGCTGTGTAATATAACAAAAATAAACAGTATTAACAAGCAACAAACAGTGCAAACAATGCAAAATAAGCAGTATAAACAGGCAGTAAACAATGCAGACAGACAAAGGAATGCTCACTGAAATGAGATAAATAGGAATAAAAACAGAGTACTTAAAACTAGAGACCTAGTTTTAAGGTATATTTACAGGTGTTACACTGAGGGTTATTGTCCAGTCATACTGTTGTTGGTTAAGTGTTCATCAGAGCAATGGCCTGGGGAAATAAGTAACAGAACTTTCTTTGCAGAGCATTAGCAGCAGAGCGTTAGTCTCGCCTTAAACATTGCTTAATTTTTAAAACACTGTGGTATGTGTGGTGCAGTCCTTATTTGCTCTTGGTGTCTGTTGTTGTGAAGAGAGACAGTGCTAAAGACGTCAGACTGGTCTCACTGACCAGGCACATTTATGAGTGATACTTTACTGGAATGTGAGACAGTTGTAAACATCGCAAAGTAGACCTTTCTTGATCTACAGCTGAGGTGGGAGACTCTGTCCATAGGACAACAATCAGTCGTATACTGCACAAATCTGGCCTTTATGGAAGAGTGGCAAGAAGAAAGCCATTTCTTAAAGATATCCATAAAAAGTGTCGTTTAAAGTTTGCCACAAGCCACCTGGGAGACACACCAAACATGTGGAAGAAGGTGCTCTGGTCAGATGAAACCAAAATCGAACTTTTTGGCAACAATGCAAAACGTTATGTTTGGCGTAAAAGCAACACAGCTCATCACCCTGAACACACCATCCCCACTGTCAAACATGGTGGTGGCAGCATCATGGTTTGGGCCTGCTTTTCTTCAGCAGGGACAGGGAAGATGGTTAAAATTGATGGGAAGATGGATGGAGCCAAATACAGGACCATTTTGGAAGGAAACCTGATGGAGTCTGCAAAAGACCTGAGACTGGGACGGAGATTTGTCTTCCAACAAGACAATGATCCAAAACATAAAGCAAAATCTACAATGGAATGGTTCACAAATAAACATATCCAGGTGTTAGAATGGCCAAGTCAAAGTCCAGACCTGAATCCAATCGAGAATCTGTGGAAAGAACTGAAAACTGCTGTTCACAAATGCTCTCCATCCAACCTCACTGAGCTCGAGCTGTTTTGCAAGGAGGAATGGGCAAAAATTTCCGTCTCTCGATGTGCAAAACTGATAGAGATATACCCCACGTGACTCACAGCTGTAATCGCAGCAAAAGGTGGCGCTACAAAGTATTAACTTAAGGGGGCTGAATAATTTTGCACGCCCAATTTTTCAGTTTTTTATTTGTTAAAAAAGTTTGACATATCCAATAAATTTCGTTCCACTTCATGATTGTGTCCCACTTGTTGTTGATTCTTCACAAAAAATTACAGTTTTATATCTTTATGTTTGAAGCCTGAAATGTGGCAAAAGGTCGCAAAGTTCAAGGGGGCCGAATACTTTCGCAAGGCACTGTATGTAAAGTCATGCGGAGTTTATGGAAAAGCTTCATCTACTGGGGAGTATGAATCCACTTTTTAATTTTACTTTTATTTATTAATTGTATGCCCTGCGATGGATTGGCGACCTATCCAGGGTGTACCCCGCCTTTGCCCGATTGCCGGCCAGGATTGGCTCTGCCCCCCGTGAATATGCACAGTAGATACAGTATTAAGTAGTATTTTCTGGCCTTTCTTCCTTGAGATGGCCTTGTCATGGACTAGGTCCCTTAGATCAATGACTTCCGACCTCAGGGTCTGGAGCCTTTAAGGAAACTTTGAAATGTCAGCAGGTAATTCTGTTACACACAAAAAACTTTTTTGACACACTGGATACTTTAACCTGCTCTGGTGTTTAAAAATACTTCAAATGAAACAATTAGAGAAGAGAAATCACTCTTTGGTGAAATTATTCATAGGTGTACGTTGCTTTAGTTTAAGAAGTGACAAACCGAAATGGTTGGAAACCACTGTATTACATCGGCCAGAGCATCACCGTCGGCTTCAAAGCCTTGAACAGACAGTGACTTACACCATATAGCCCCATCGCAAGTAAGTGGGGGAAAAGAACTGCCACATAGCAAACAATTTAGTAATAATTTTACCAAAGTAAAGATTCATAGTAATGAATGAATGGTTTAAAATACTGTATTTGTCCTCGTCCTCTCCCTCAGGCGGCCCGTCAGTCCCAGCTGTTACGAGGAGTGTTCCCTGTCCTCTTCCACCCTCTGCCTGCTCCTGTCTGGGCTGATGATGTAGACAAAAGGGTCAACTTTGGCATGGACCTAGGTCAGTGTGTGTGTGCTGTTTGTGTCTTATTGCCTGTACTGTATTGGTCTGCTTGTTTATAAGCTCTGATACTGTCCTACTCCCATGACCTCTCTGTTTCCATCCACCTCTGCAGGGAAAACAAGAGGGTTCTTCAAATCAGGCGACATGGTGATTGTGATGACTGGCTGGATCCCTGGGTCTGGTCACACTAACATTATGAGGGTAGTCAGTGTGCCCTAACACCATGGCCCTACTGGACTGGCTGACATGCTGCTGGCCTGACAGTGTTATAGCCTCTTTAACACTACCTATAATGTTTAAATGTGATGAAAAATGGAGACTCACTGCCATCAAATAAATCAATAACCACTGCCATTGATAGATTAACAAAAGCATTAAAACATCATTATTTGTAACTGGAACTGGTTTCTTAAAAGCAATGACTCCCTCCAAATAAACTTTGAACCATTAATATTAACATGCTGTTCTGGTCATGTTGGGACTGAAGCTGTGTTGATTGAGCCGTTCAGCCTCTTCTTTTCTGGTTTGTTATTTGGGTGAGCAATATTGAATTGAAAATGAATATTGTTTCTTGGCCTGACATTGTTGAAATATATCATTACTGGAAGTTTATAGAATTTGGAGATAAGGCTTTTATCCCATAGTCCTGAGCTTATCTCTGGGTTGGTGCAATTCTTTTGGCTATTATGAACTGTGCTGGGAGATGTGAAGGTGACAGGTATTGTACTACACCCCTGTTGTCCACTAAGATGACCCCAATGCCCACATCTGCATATTGTTCCCTCATAAAGTAATTATATATAGTCCTGCATAGGGCTTTCATATGTCTGATGATCCTGGACTTCCTTCTCCAGGTTTCCTTTCTGGCTCTATGCAGTTTATATCTTATCTCTCATCTCTTTCTTCCACTAAGAGCCACTTTTACATACACTGACTATGTTAGTCTCTGTATATATATTTGTGATTGGCTTAATGACAATTTAAAGGACTTTTATCTTTATGCTTCCACATGGAGCCTGTGGTTGTACATGTATTATTGGATTAATGTGTGAGCAGCGGTTGAGGTAATACTGTTTTCAACTCATTTAAATACTGTTGGCTGTCTATAAAATGAAATATTTTAGAACATGATCACGTTTACCGTATACAGTCGTAATCTGCTAACATAATCAGTAAACTGCCATTGAATTAAGGTAGCCATGTGCAGAAATCAGTATTCACCTCTGAAATGTAGTGGAGCAGATTAATAATGTATCTTAAAGTAGCAGGGTCAAGTTTAAGTTGCAATAAAGTTAAAGTATTATTGTGCCTTTCAAATCTAGAGTGTGGATTCAAAACACCCTGGTGTTATTCAGCAGTTAGCTCTAATGTTCATAAGGTGACACATTAACAACTGACACGTTAATTGTGTACTTGGCATAACCACCAGTAGTAAAGAGCTTTTAAAAATGAACTGGCCTCTGGGTTACGTTGGAAAATTTGGATGTATTATTCCCGAGTTATTAAACACATTGTGCTTCATCTAGCTAACCTCATGTTAGTGTGGACGAGACCATTTTTAATTAACACCCTCTGGTTATTTTTATTTTTATTTTTCCTTAATACTTTATATGTCTTCTGTAATTGTCGTCATTGTTTTAAAAAAGGCTTGCATTTTCCCCGAGATTTAAATAAAGTTTCATCATCACTCACGCGCTCTCTCTGTATTGGTGACAGAGGATGACGCGCGACCTGTACCTGCGAGGGATGCGTGCGTCTTGCGCCGTCCGGGCACGGCCTTGGGGAGCGGCTGATGGGGATGCGGGTGCCATGGCAACAAGCCGATTATTTCCAAACCTTTATATGCTCATTTATTTATTTAATATATCATTTGGATGCGCCGCGCGCCTCTGTGGACGTGCCTGTCGACCTCTGCGTGCGGAGTGTGAGTGAGCGGTGAATCTCAGCTTTAAACTTGGACTTTGTCGGCGCTAAACAGCCTGCGAGGAAGCAGCCACCTCGCTCAACAAGTTGTTTTCTAAGGAGGCTTTTGAATTAATCGGAGCGCACCCGTTTACATCTGAACAGCTTGTTCTGTTCAAATAAAGATCCTGTTTATCTGTCCTCGATGCCATAAGAGGGGAAGAGGCATTGTCACATCCCGTTGTCTGGATAAAATGTCTTTGAAAGTCGGCAGAAGCGGGAATGCACGGCAGTAGCTGCTGATGAGACATGGCTTTGGGCGTCAGACTGAACACCTGAAGTTAATTCCGGCATCACGTTGACAAGATCGCTCAGTTGAAGAGCCGACAGTGTCTCCTCTGACTGTGTGAGCGCTTCAGTCAAGCTTGGGCAACATTTCAGCGCGTCACCCATCATGATGAGTGGGTTTTTTCCGTTCAGAGACTGAAAACGGCATGGTGCCACGGATTCTGTGAAAACGTGAGCTAAATTTGGGGTAATTTGACTTGCCTTCGCCGTCGTGAGTGTGTCTGTGTTGGTCCGTGTTTCTCTGTGCGCGTTTGTGGTTGCTAATAGTGTGCGTGTCAGAATGAACCACCTTTGCCCGTGTGTGCCTATTATGTCCATTAAAACAACCCACCGCTCCTGACAGAGGATCAAGTGTCCTTGTCATTCATCCACGGATGAATGTTTCCCACTCTACCACCTTAGCGCTCAGATCATCTCTTACATAATGACATATGTTGGAAATAGCTAAATTGGGTAAGCAGCCCAGACATACAGGATACACAGATAGGACAACCAATGAGCGGCGACCTCCGTTATCTACAAAGGACCGGGAATCCGATGCCAATATGACCGGTGTCGGTGCGTTGAGGGCGGCTGTGGAGAGGAGAGGGAGGGCCTCGGGCGGAGAACAACGTTTCAAGGACGTGGAAGGAGGAATGTTACAGAAACATCTGTGAGGTAAAAACGACACTTTGAGACAGGAGGCAGAGGGGAGCTGCTGCTGTAGCACTGGAAGGGTGAAGGATTTAATGTCCGGATGGGGCTTTTTCCAAGGGCACAGAGGTAAAGATGGCCACATCGACGGCCAGAGGGTGGAGGTGTGAGCTTTCAGGCCCAGAAGAATGATTGTAGACACAGAGGACACTTTTCTTTAGCTTCTTTAACTGATTGTTCAGACTGGCACTGACATTCTCACCCATGTAGTCTTCTCAGGTCAGCTGTACTAAACAGTACTTTTCCTGAGGGCTGGGAGTTACAGGTTATATTCACCCTCCCCTCCCCTTCCTCCTCCCTGGGTTGGGATGGATGGGGTGGCTGGAGGGTATTCACCCTCCCCTCCCCTTCCTCCTCCCTGGGTTGGGATGGATGGGGTGGCTGGAGGGGTGGGTACCCCCACCAGCACCGGGGGGTCTGGGGGTGACAGCCTGCCCAGACGTAATGGGGACTCCAAGCGGCGCAGTAAGGGCAGCCTGCCCTCTCCTGGATACAGGCTGTCTCAGGCCTCACTGGAAGGGGAAAGGGGCTCCTTTGGGGCAGACAGTACCTCCTCAGGTGGACGTGGCCGTCGCCCCTCCATCATGAGTTCCACTAGGGACAGTCTGCCCTTCCGCACAGCGGGCACACCAACAACCCCGGTGCCTCTACCGCCTCCTCCACCCACCTCCTCCTCTGTCACTCATCCTCCTCCGCGCTCGGTCGGCTTTGCCACCTCCCGTGGTGCACTAGCCTCCACGTCCTCCACCGGCACTGGGGTCATGGTGGTGGCCACCGGCCCAGAGACCACCACCACCACCACCTGCAACAGCACTGCAGCAGGGACCCCCGATCAGTCTGGACTGGGTGGGTTTGGCATGGGTCTAGATGGAGAGGACTACTGCAACTCCAACCAGAGCACCTTCATCCAGAGACAGTTTGGAGCCATGCTTCAGCCTGGTGTCAACAAGTTCAGCCTGCGCATGTTTGGATCCCACAAAGCTGTGGCACTGGAGCAGGAAAGACTGAAATCAGCAGGGGCATGGATCATACACCCCTACAGTGACTTCAGGTATGCAGTCACACACACACAATCTTCAGCTAATCACACTGATGTAGGTTTGTAAAATAAATGCCACTTATAGAAAGTGCTGTTTTGGTATCAAAGGAAGTTGAAATTGTGCTCACTTTAGTGAACACTCTTGAGGCAATTATGTAGATAGAGGAATGGGAACCAAAAACTCATCATGCATTCAGCAGCATCTTCGGTTGGTAAGAGGGGAAATGGAGAGGAGGACAACTAGGAGGAGAGAAAGACATGCAGGGGGCTAAATATATAATGCATGGGACACAACAGTAGTGCAAAGGAAGTGATGCAAGGTGAAGGGAATAGAACAAGTGAAAGGTGCAATGGGAGACTGAGTCTTTGGGGGAAAGTGTAGAAAAAGAAGAGGGTGTATAAGAGGTAAGACGGCAGAATGAAAAAAGGAAGTGGATGAAAAGTCCTTGGAAGAATAATGAAGGCTGGGGGAGAAGTCTTTAAGGAAAGGGCAGTGTGCTCCAGGATAGACACCACACAAAAAAGGCAGGTCTCCATTTGTAAAAGAGCAAGAAAGCAACTGACTGTAGCCTGGTTTTTGTTCCAGAAGAATTACTTCCACAGTTAGAGGGAAATGGTGAATGAAATGCAAATTAAAGGACACATTTAGCCAGGAGGTGGCTTCATGCGTGGAGTTTGATTTTTCTGCTACCTGAACTGATGAACAGTGCAAGAATCTGTGACGCCTGAAGAGAAAAAACTAATGAGGCTTCTAATTGTTGGTTTCCATGAGTGAAACACTTTTCCTAAACAGAAAGAGAAATCCAGTGGCAACTTCTAATAGGACATGCTTGGAACTGAAATGATTAGTCAGTTCACTGATTAGTCAGTCAACAGAAAATTAATCAGCAATTTTGGCCATTTGTCAGGTATTTTGTATGCAAAAAATGGCTGACATGTCCTTGTCACAGCATCTCCACTATGAGAATGAGCTCTTTCCCCTGTGTTTTATGTCACTGTAAGCTGAATATCTTTGGGTTAGGACCCATTGTTGGACAAAACAACAGATATGAAGACACCATCTTGACTTTTAGGGAACTGTGATGGGCATTTTTCATTATTATTATTTTTATTTTTTGACGCTGTGTAGAAAAAACAAGTATTTGACTCAGTGCTAAGCTAGCCCCAATGAAATAATCATTGGTTGCAGGCCTACATATGTTTCTCTAGCTTCATTTTCTGACTGGGGGTGAGTACGTGAGGGCAGTTTTGTGAATGTTCGCGTGCCTCAAACGCTCTCGTCCAGGCACAGTTATTCGCTGACCGGCACATGAGGCCTGCTGGTCCCTGGCTTATAGGTTTTCCTTGAATGTGCAGGTGGACAGCAGAGGGAGAAACAGCATTCATAATCTCCAGACACACTGCAGCAACAATGGATGACTTGATCCCCAAGGCTCCTGGCCCACTTTTGTCTCATCAGGCACTCACACACACTCAGACTTGTCGTTTTTGAGGGAATCATTTTTGCATTTTCTGTCAATTTGATGAGCGATCATAAAAGTCAGCTTACAGGTGAATGGAGTCGGCGAGGAACAGCAAACAGGATCAATGAAAGCCCTGTTCAATTTTAGTTCCTCCTGTACTTATTTATGCAAGATATCTTAAGATGTGAATAGTCTTAACTATCCTGTTGGAGAATCACAATCAAGTTTTTATCAAATATGTATGAAGTCCTAAATTATGCAAGTTGAGTATGCATTATGCATAATAAAGTCATCTAACTTCTCAGTTAAGTACCTGCAGTCGGGAGTGACATGTTAATAATAACTTTGTGAGGTTGGAGCGAGAAAGAAAGGAAAACAGATGACAGATTACCCCTTTACGCATTTTTCTCCCGATATTGGCCTGGAACAAACGAGCATCTATGTGTATGTGTAGCGATATGGTGTGTATGTGGCCTGTTATTACTGAGTCTGCTGATAAGCTCTCACACCCTTCACCCCGTTAAGAAAATATGTGTTGCTGCTGCACCTATAAGAATACATAATGAGAAGCAGGAGAGGTGAAGAAAATTCCTACCCTGGCACAGTGATAGCCATATAAAGTGAATAAAATGAGAGGAGGGATGAAAACAGAAAGACGGTTTGGCTACAGAGAGTTGGTGGCATTGCACATAAAGTAACAGAGATTTATTATGTAATAGCTGGTTGCTGTTGTGTTTGTCTCCATGCCTGGCAGAATGATGGGTGGAAACCTGCTCAGAATTGACATCTGGCCAATTGTGAATAGGTAACCAATCACAGGCTGCTCAGGAGACACTTGGCCTCTATTACAGTAAAATTAGTGCTGGATTTGACAACAGCTGAGCAGGTAGACGCAGGTCACTTCTCCTCTAGCACCTGCTTGAGTTGGAAATAGAATAGTGATGAGGCTGAGGAAGACAGCTTTGATTGCATTTGCAATTCCTATGTGTGTGTATGAAAGAGACTGTGTGTGTGTGTGTGTGTGTGTGTGTGAGTGTGTGTGTGTGTGCGCGTGCACATTACACGCAGGTGCACGGTGTGTGTGTGTGTGTGTGCGTGCACATTACACACAGGTGCACATACATATTTACCTGCAGGGACCACACACAATACAAGACCCAGTGTTGCATCAGCTGGGAGATCAGAAATCAGGCTCTGTCAGGTATTTAGCCCAACATGACAAACCTTCAGATCAATTTTAGTTTGGATCTGACATTTTGACTTTTTTTTTGTCTCTTTGTTTGTTCTCATGTGTTTGTTGTTATGTCGAGCTCAGATCAGCCGCCACATCTCTGTGAGAACAGCAGAATATAGTACACAGAGGCTGATTAATGTGCAGTGACACAATGTCAGTTATTATGTTGCACAGCAAACAAACATTTTAGATTAGATTAACCGCCATTTTAATCTGTGTAGCTCGTCTTCTAGACAGGAGCACGTTGCAATGACACATCATTTTCTAAGCATGTGTGTGTGTTTATTTAAACGCAGAGAGAAAGGCATAAATAAATGTAACCCCCAGAAGGATAGGACCACAACAAGTAATTGTTGATTTTCTACTAATTATGTTCTTTATTAATAAAATAAAATTGGTGATTTGTGAAAAATAGCCATCACAAAGTCCAAGTTGCAATATTAAAATGCCCTGTTTTGTTTGAGCAACAATCCAAAATCCCAAATGAATATAAGAAAACTATGAACATCTGAAAACAGAGAATTATGGCTTTTTTCCTTATAAACTGACTTAAAGTATTAATCAAGCATAAACATATAGAAACAAAATTACTGACTAATCAAGAAACAACATCAACAGATGCATCATTAATGTAAACAATCTGTAGTTGCAGCCCACTTGTACAAAATGCATTTAAAAAAGCAAAGTCTGTGCATAATAATAATAAATCCTTTGCTGCTTGAGCAGGTCTGTCAGGTCATGTTTTTTTCCCCAGAACAAAAAAATCCATTGTAAAGTATTTGATTTTTAATGATATACATGTATAGCACTGATAGACCTGCAGTAAACAACCAGTGTAATATGATGTGGATTACTGAATTGTTCCCTGTAATCAGAGTTAATAAATCATGTGCTCAAGGTCAGGAGTAACGCTCCATTACCATGACAACGTCTACACAATTGCTGTATTGGTGCCACTGTAAATAATCCCTGTGTTTATGTGAATATGAAGTGATACATCTGTCAGTATAAGTGACAACGTCAGGGAGAAGTGTGTGCATCTGTAGCAGAGCGATGACTCATACTTTAATCTTTATCACTCTGATTGTAACCGTGCACCGTGAGGTTGTGTTAATAAATTAACGCTCGGTAGTACGCGACCACGGAGCTCAAGTGTATGTTCTCATAGAAAGACAGAGTGTGTGTGTGTGTGTGTGTTTGTGTGGATTGATGGAGAGTGAGAGTGCAGATACAAGAGCGAGCAAGTCAGTGATATGGGTTAAGGTGATGGATAAAGGGATTAGGAGAAACGAGACATTTGGAGGAATCATCTACAGATGATTGGATCACCTCTTCTGTCATACGTTAATCACGTCCAACATCCCAACCAATGACTGGCTTCCCATATTTTTATGAGAGGGCTACGTCACTAATACCCTCCGGCATGAAATACAGATGGATGGGTTCATCCAAGGTTACTGGTCATGTGCCTCCCTGTGTATGTCTCTCCTTTTCAGTTCAGTTTTACTCTGCTTTATTGGTATGAGAGATAAAGGATGCCCTTCATGTTTCCAAAGCACTTGCAAAGGATGCAACTGGCCTGAGGGAAACATGCTGTTTTTACCTCTAGATTTGCTCTACAAGGATGAATTTGCAGTTCTTACTGTCGTGGATGGTCCAAAAGTTGGTATCCTGACTCAGGAGGGGAAACAAAGAGAAGCCTACATAGAGGAAATATTTAATATTTGAAAATATGTAAGGAAGTTAGATATAAAATGACCAACTAAAAGAAAAGGTGGTGGCAGGAGAAGAAAAGAAACTGAATCACAATTCTCCTTTACACACCAGTTTACTCATCATGGAGAGTAGTATGGTATGCAGCAGCATAATGACTTCTTCTTTTTGTAAGTTCTAGAGAATAGCCTTATTATCTCATTAACGTTATCTTGGGTTAGGCTTGGGACTGGTTGTGAATTTTTCAAAAGGGAAGCTGGGGTTGTGTCGTTTGACAAGTGAGGTCGTTTAACAAGTATTATGGGAATAGTATAATCCTGTGCTTTAGAGTTTGACCCACATTAGAGACTCAAAGTTAGAATATCTTGACCTCTAATGCTTTAATTTTGACGTTTATGGAAGTGAGATGCTAAATCAGTGTGATTGTTTTGGATTTCTCATCAATCAAAAAAAAAACTTACTGGCATAAATGTGGATGGTTAAAGCTAAAGTGCGCACCAGGACTGCTGCACACCAGAGAGTTTGACCTGTCATAGTAGATAAAGTGCAGGTGTTACTGATAACACTAACCATAGCTCCGGGCATGTCCCATTAAGTCATGACACTAGCTGTTTCTGAAGTCCATCCCACTTATCATCATAATAAACTGTTTTGTTGTTAGCAAGAATACACACAAAACTCCAGTTTTATACCAACAGGAAATGAGACATTTGCCATGTCCCACATTCACACTACATACAGGTTTTGAATATCTACTCATTTCTAGCCTTCACACTGGAAAAGTGACAAAATTCACTGTCCTCACATCAGAGAGCATGTGTAATAAATAGGTTTGATTTTTGAGTTGTTGATGTTGATGGACACTTTATAATGCAAAAAAGAAATGGAGGAGCTGCTCACGGCTGGGAGCATAGTTAAATACATTGTGGGTAGTGGTGAAACGGCTCCAAAAATCCTGGAAAACAAAGAAACATAAGTTGTTAAATTTTGATATCTCTTTTTGTATCATTTCCTGTGAGCATACAATTTTATAGTATGTTCACATTTTTGTATAAAACTTAGTAAATACTACATGCTTTAATTAGTATGTAAGAAGAAAACAACTAATGTCCAGTGGTCGATGTCAATCAAACTGCAGAATTTGAGCACCACTTCACAAATAGACATAAATGTATTTTTTCTTGAGATTTAATATTTTTTTGTTTTCTGAGATGTTTCTGAAGATTTTCTCCCAGAGAGCTGCATTTATTACATTTTTTCAGCTGTAAGGAGGTGAATTTTATTATGTCACTTTTCATGTGTGAGTATGTCATATATTTAAAACCTACTTAGTTTATAATATAGATTTGACAGGGGGCCATCATGGATAATTACAGGACAATGCAGCTAAATATTCAGCTGTTGTTAATTTTACCTCAGCTTTTCCTCTGTGAAACATTAGAAAATAAAAATGAATAAATAGTTCCAAAACATTAGGCTCTAGCAAAAAAACAATAGAGCACAGCTAATTAACTGTGTTTCTCCCATTCTAGATTCTACTGGGACCTGCTGATGTTGCTGTTGATGATGGGGAACTTAATCATCCTGCCAGTGGGCATCACCTTCTTCAGAGACGAGAACACTCCCTCATGGATCATCTTCAATGTGGTCTCTGACACTCTCTTCATGGTTGACTTGGTTCTTAATTTCAGAACCGGCATTGTCAAGGAAGACAGCACTGAGATATTGCTGGATCCAAGGTCAATAAGAGATTTTGTGTGTGGGTGTGTTAGTTTTATATGTCAAGGACACATGTGCTGTGGAATAACAGTACAACAGCTCAGACACCAAAAGTTCACATTAGCTTTTCTGGGCATCTGCTGGGATTGTGTTAAAAAAATCCTTGAGTGAAATGTGAAAAGGCCAGTGGCCAGCAGCAGAGCTTTGTTCACATTCCAGTTTTGTTCCTGTTGAATATTTACGAGGGTTATTTTAGGCCAGGCAAATGCTTCCAAAAATTTAGGTTGCCAAATAAGGAAAGTCACTGGTCTTCCATCCTGCTCTAACTCAGGGCGATCCGCCAGAACTACCTGAAGAGCTGGTTCCTTGTGGACTTTGTGTCATCCATCCCAGTGGACTACATCTTCCTGATGGTGGACAGTCTGGACTCGGAGGTCTACAGGACGGCCAGGGCGCTGCGCATCGTCCGCTTCACCAAAATCCTGAGCCTGCTTCGGCTGCTCCGCCTGTCAAGACTCATCCGCTACATCCACCAGTGGGAGGAGGTGAGAAACGGAGACTGGAAACAGAGAGCACAGTTGAAGAGAAAGAGATATTTGTGTGAAAGAGGTAGTTAAAGACTCATTTAATATTTAAGGTGTGACAAATCAAAAGTTCTTTTCTTATGAAATAGCATGTTTTAGGATAGAACCATCCCAGTTTTTGTGAACATTGTACAGATGAGCTGGAAGAAAAGCTTTTTAAA